GCTAGCTCAGTCGCTTAGTCAAATATGATTAACTGTTTATTGGGAGTGCCTTTTCAAGATTTATTTGTTTGTTGAAATACCAGTAAAATTAGTTATTTAACTTTTTGGTCTAGGCTTATAATTCCCCCTGATTATCGAACTGTGTACCCCATTTAGAGAATCATGTATATGGACACGCATAAGTCAACAAAAAAGTAGAGATATTTCCTTGTTTTAAAGTTGTTTTTTTTTTACTAAGCCTTTCACATTTTAGTGCAAGGCCAGATAAAGGTCAAGTTCATTTCAGTCTTACTCTTCTTACATGAAGACTAAGCCGCAAGTTTGGAATGTGGAAGTGGTTTTTTAAATGAATTCATTGAAAAACACTGTCGGCGGTAGAAAAATAAAATATAAAACTAGGTGCAGTATATGTCAGTTTTTAGAGTGAGTAAATGAAAAAGTAAAAACTAAAAATTAAGCGTCCCGAGTTCTAAACTTTCTAGGTTGAGAAAATTTACAGTTCCATTTTTTTTAATGTTATATTTTATTGAGAGAGCGTAGTTATTTTTTTTAACTTACTTGAGTAACTTAAAAAAAATAACTACGCTCGCTCAATCATTAAAAAAATGGAAATAAGTTATTTTGAGACAGTAGATCTGAAACCTAGCTTAAAAAAAAAACGAAAAAATTCGTAGCTGTTCATATATTCTGCGCTCTTTTAAGATACAAATGCTTAAAATGTTACTTAAAGTCATTTAAACCAAAATAAAATAAAAATATATCGCTACCGGTCTGTATGCTTCACGAGACTGACGAATACAGTAAGTTTTCTTTTTCAAAGCTTAGAGAATTCTTATAAGAAACAATGCATATTCGCTAAAAAATGAGTAATTATACACGATGAAAAATTGCTCAGAACTTAATAAAAATAAAAAAGTATTATCGTCAAAAGAAATCTTAAGAGAAAGGCAAAAAAAAAAAAAGGATTAAGAAGATGAAGGAGAAACATTTTTTTATTATTATTTTTTATTACTATTTTTATTTTAGAACGTTCGAAATTTGGGTTAAAGATTTTGTTTTTCTTGTGTCAATTTAGTATGGGAAATTTGAGCGTCTTTTTTTACGGTGAAAAACATTGATGTGGAAATTCTTGTGAAATCAGATAATTGTCGGATTTTAATGAAACTTTCAGGACTAATTCACAAATGAATATTATTTTAGAAATATTTCTTTTTTAGAAAATCTTGGTAAAAAATATTTTTTACATCTGTTACCCCTGTTATTTAATTTTTTATGAAATTTCGAAAAAAATCATTTTTGTAGCGCTTAATGTTTACATTTAGTTATAAGGACAAGTCCTCGGTAAACTTAAATTATGAAATTTCTTTTGTCAAACAAGACCCCAGTTACAGAAAATCTCCCCTGAAGCATACAATAAATAAAAACGGAAATATTATTTAATTAGAAAAGCTTTTAATTGTTTTAAATTATGAATAAGATATTATGGACACTATTGCCTTAAGAAAGAAATTCGATGAATAATGCATTTTTTACAAGAGTTGTTTTATCATTTTTTTAAAAATTTTAATTAGAATAATTTATAAAGTTTTTAAATCTGTTAAAATTCTGTATTAATTTGTAGCGGGTAAGTGTTAAAAACTATATTTACTAATCATAAATAAAAAAAGCTTGCTTACTACAATTCAGCGACCCATAGTATTTTAAAAAGAATTAGGAGGATTTTGTGTGTGTGTGTGTGTGTGTGTGTGTGTGTACAAACTTGCCGAGTTTTGTAAATACGTACGTCTATACAGAACTTTATCAGAAATACGAGGTGTATTCCAGAAATTTTGAGACTTTTTCAGGAGAGACATTTATTAATTTTGAAGAAGCACAAAATTCTAATCTCCTTCAAAGTAGGATCCCCTGACTTTAATGCACTTGTTACAGCACTCCAGCCACTCCGTGAAGATCCCATAGAAGTCATCCAAGGTGAAGGTGTCCAGGATCCTTGCTACAACCCCCTTCATCTTCTTAATGTCTTAAAAGAAACTGCTCCTGAAATTCTTCTTCAGTTTGAGGAACAACCCAAAGTCACAGGGAAGCAAGGCCTGGGCTGTAGGAACGGTGAGGGTCTGTTTTTCCTTCTGCTCGTCACTGAGCAACTCGTGAACAAACTTTGCACAAATTTTACGCATGTTCAGATCTTTATGAATAATTCTGTGTTTCAGTTGCCACACGAACTCCAAACTGTATGTTTATTGTATTGACACATGACGACGATCTTCATTCAGAAAATTGCGAATTTTCTAAAACAGCTCTAATGTTCTGACGTCCACGTCCATGTTGTTTCCCTCTCGTCTCTCACATTGTCTCCGTCTTCCTTGAACCTCTTGTGCCAACCGAAATAAGATGCTCAGCTCATACAAGTTAATCCATAAGCAGTCTGGAATATTTTATACTTTTCTCTAGCATTTTTGCCCAGTTTAACATAAAACTTTATTGCATAGCGAGCTTCCAAACTATCTTCACGCTCTGACAGCATTCTGTAAGCTTATCCGCTGTGACAAGCAGTATTTACTGGGGCGTGTTCAAAGTTCTTTTACACGCGTCTCCTTCAATCTTGCATAACAAAAACTTATTAGATGTATAGAAATTATATACTAAAACTACAACACTTTAGAAGTTATAATTGCCTCGCCAAAAATGTCTCAAAATTTCTTGGTGTAGGGCGTAGTCAACTTATTAGATGTATAGAAATTATATACTAAAACTACAACACTTTAGAAGTTATAATTGCCTCGCCAAAAATGTCTCAAAATTTTTTGGTGTAGGGCGTAGTCAACTTATTAGATGTATAGAAATTATATACTAAAACTACAACACTTTAGAAGTTATAATTGCTTCGCCAAAAATGTCTCAAAATTTCTTGGCGTAGGGCGTAGTCAACTTATTAGATGTATAGAAATTATATACTAAAACTACAACACTTTAGAAAAGTTATAATTGCCTCGCCAAAAATGTCTCAAAATTTCTTGGCGTAGGGCGTAGTCAACTTATTAGATTTATAGAAATTATATACTATATCTACAACACTTTAGAAAAGTTATAATTGCCTCGCCAAAAATGTCTCAAAATTTCTTGTCAATAGTAAATGTTGTAAAATTAAGCCGTCTGACTAAATCTATGTCCAATACCACTTTCGATGCACTATAACCAAGTCAATTCATTTTTTTTTCTTTTACTGTAGAATTTCTTGGTAACGTTACTTCGAGAAAATTCTAAGCACAATATTTTCTCTGGTAAGGGAGTATTTGTAGAAGAAAAAACACTATTTACGTATAGTTTTATACAATTATTAGAAAACACATATCTCTACTAGACACAAGTTTTTATCTAGCTAAGTCACACACGCACCGAAATCTACTTAAAACAAATTTTAAAACAAATATACCAGAGTGCTGGACATTATCGATGCGACTCTCACTTGATACAGATGTCTACAACGACATCAGTGAGTTTCCCTTGCATAGGCTATAAGAGAAGCAGGAGAGAGAGAGAGAGAGAGAGAGAGAGAGACTTCACACACACGCGAAATTAGCCTGTCAGCCAAGAAGAAGGAACAAATATAGCTAGCCTACGCGAAATTCTTAAAATTAATATATAAAATGAGGAGAAAAATGAAATTAATGAGGGAATCGTGTCTGGAGTCACGCAAAAGGTTTCGTTTTTGTTCCTCGCACGTTACACTTCAAAGAATTTTCTCTCAACACTCCAAGAAAGCTAAGTATTTCAAACTATCTTTCATCGTCTACTTTTGAACGCATGCAGCCGTATATCTCTTCTGGAAGCAACAAACTTTCTAACTTTTGTTTTAAAGATTTTTGAATATTATTTTGTGTTGGTCATTTAAGCTGTTGTAGGAACATTTCCTCTTCGTGGTAATACGTTAAAACCACGGACATTAAGAATTCTGATTTATTTTCCCGAACAGAGTTACTGACAATACTTCAAGCGTGTAAATTCATTAATAAATTTTTTATTTTGTTTTGCTAAAATTACCCGTGTGTTTCCTCGTCATTATCATTCTTCATTAATCTTGATAAATCAACTGTACATTTTAACACCTATGCCCTACGCCAAGAAATTTTCAGACATATTTGGCGAGGCAATTATAACTTTTCTAAAGTGTTGTAGTTTTAGTATATAATTTCTATACATCTAATAAAGTTAACTACGCCCTACGCCAAGAAATTTTGAGACGTTTTTGGCGAGGCAATTATAACTTTTCTAAAGTGTTGTAGTTTTAGTATATAATTTCTATACATCTAATAAGTTGACCCTTTGATGTCCTGATGTTGTTACATGCCTTACTTCTTGCCCCCCTTTGCGAATTTTTTCTAAGCTCTATACTAAACATTAAATCTGTTACGAAAAAAGAACGAAACAAAATGAACACAAAACGATCAGCTTTAAAAAAGCACTCGTAACTGGAAAAACCGAATGAAAAAAGAATGTTAACAACAAATACTTTTTCACACCCAACCCAGTTCTGTGGAATCAGAATCAACGTTGAGTTTAAGCAAGCGAATGAGCCAATTGGAGTAAAGTGCCGTGCAGATTTAAATTTTTCCCACTTGTGACAAATGCAGCTATCGATTTTTTTTGCATGCTAGTTAACATCCGTGTTAGTCAGCTGTTGGCTCTCACGCTGGCCAATAGAATCTTCCTGCCTATTCGTGGCAGCCAGCTATAGGCCCTCACTCTGGCCAGTACAAAAATGGCCGCAGACCACATGGAAACTGCCGTAGAAGCATGAAAAAATCGATTCTTTCCGCTATCGATGGGAGTTGGGAAATGCAAGGTTGGTCTTGGCCTGCCTGATAACTTGAAGCATGTGCATGTAAATTTTGGTGCAAATCCGTCGAAAATTGCGGCCGTGCATTCGTTACACACACACACACACACACACACACACACACACACACACACACACACACACATCCTGCCTTTTATTCGCCATGCCTGCAGTACAGTGCCCCTTCCCTAATTGCGACTACACCACACCAGATCTCGACGCAGCTATTGTTGCCGCACTCATAACAACCCATGGTGCCGTTCACACTACTGGTACTTCTGCTCAGACTACCCCTGTTGAGAAAGTCAAACGGCCAACTCTAACCGCCGCTGGTTCTAGCGAGGACTGGGCCTACTTTCAATCACCCTGGATCGACTATGTGGCAGCCACAAAGGTATCAGGGCGCGAAGCGGTGATCCAACTTCTCGAGTGCTGCGATGAACCACTGCGCAGAGATCTCATTCGCACATCAGGTGGCAACCTTACAGACAAAACCATAGATGTAGTCATGTGTGCCATTCGGAAACTAGCTGTTCGCGAGGAAAACACAATGGTAGCAAGGGTAACACTGCACAACATGCGACAGGATCAAGACGAACCGGTGCGACACTTTGGTGCCCGCCTACGTGGACAGGCAGATATCTGCAGGTTCGTCATCAAGTGCCCTAGTTGCAAGTATAACGTGAATTACACCGATGCCATTGTGCGCGACGTATTAAGCCGAGGAATTGCCGATCCTGACATCCAATTAGACCTCTTAGGAGATAAAAATCAGGATATGTCATTGGAGGAGGTATTCCAGTTCATTGAAGCGAAAGAAGCTGGGAAAAGATCAGCCTCAAGACTACTAAACACCTATTCAGTGGAGGCTGCACGTTCATCTTATCAGAGAACCAAGCACCCACTGGATGAGGATAAACAGGGCCCATGCTCGTACTGTGGCAAACGCGGCTATGACATGAAAGGCACCACACGCATCCGCAGAAACCAGTGCACAGCCTTTGCTCACAAATGTGAGCGCTGCCACCGAGACAACCACTTTGAAACCATATACCGTAGTAAAGACACGCCTATTGACAGAAGACCATCACAGACGGAGCGATTCAATAAAGGAAATGCCGTTTTTAATTCTCTGTGTAACGCAAAAGACGACTCATCCGACGATAAGATCTGCAATATAAATAGCAACCATCGTGGTCGACAACAAGTCAGCATACCACTAAACCACCATGTATATGACAGCCTATCCAACACTTGGATCAAGCGAAACTCAAAACCTCAGCCATTTATCAATCTGACGGTAGAGGCTCTTCCCGGAGATCACAAAACCCTAGGCATCGAACTACTGGCACGTTCTACAGCCGTTAGTGTGCCAGCCATGGACGACACCGGTTGCCAAAGCTGCCTGGCTGGCCTAAAAGTGATCCACCGTCTTGGTTTACGCGAGTCTGACCTGATACCAGTGACGATGCATATGCACATGGCAACGAATAGCAGTATCAGAATCTTAGGAGCCATCCTGTTATGCCTGTCTAGCAGAGATCCACGTGGGCAACTGATTGAAACGAGACAAATGACGTATATTACACCCTCGTCAGATAAACTATTCTTGAGTAGGGAAGCCTGCATAGATCTTGGCATTATAACAAATGACTTCCCTATCCTGCATGCTACGTACAATTATAGTGCCGCAAGCATAGATGGGACAGATAAATCATCATGTGGATGCCTAGTACGCCGACCGCCGCCACCAGCGCCATCAACACTGCCATTTGCAGCAACAGACGAGAACCGTGAAAATCTGCAGCAGTTCCTCCTCGATTTTTATGGTGCCAGCACATTCAACACGTGTGAACACCAAACACTACCCATGATGGACTGTCTACCTCTGAAGCTGATGGTGAACCCAGACGCCGAACCAGTAGTGCATCATACACCTGTGCCAGTTCCAATACATTGGCGGGATGACGTCAAAAGGGACTTGATCGCGATGTGAAATTGGGTGTCATTTAGCTTGTGCCCATTGACGAACCCGTCACCTGGTGTCACAGGATGGTGATCTGCGCAAAGAAAAACGGCCAACCCAGACGCACCGTCGATCTCCAAGCTTTGAATGCCTACGCGACTCGTGAAACGCACCACACACCATCGCCATTCTTCCAGGCACGGTCAGTACCCCCTAGTAAAAAGAAAACTGTCCTTGATGCTTGGAATGGTTATCATAGCGTACCTCTATGTGAGGAGGATCGCCATCTCACTTCGGTATCGCTACAGGACGGCACCACAAGGCTATATTGCGTCCGGCGACGGATACATGCGGCGATACGATGAGATTGTCGCAGACATACTAAACAAGACGAAGTGTGTTGATGATGCCCTATTGTGGGCCGACAATCTGGAAGATAGTTTCTTTCAGACTGTAAATTGACTGGATATCTGTAGGAGAAATAGCATTACGCTGAACCCAGATATAGTTGAATTCGCTGGATTCGAAATTACAAATAAAGATGTTCATCCATGTAGGAAGTACTTACAGGCAATTTTAGACTTCCCGACACCGAAAAACATCACGGATGTGCGTTCATGGTTTGGCCTAGTTAATCAAGTCTCCTACGCATTTTAGCATGGCGGACCGGATGCTACCCTTCCGGGAGCTACTCAAACCTGGCATTCAATTCAAGTGGAACGAAGATCTAGAGGCTCTCTTTCAGGAGTCCAAAGTGGAAATCACTGCTGAAATTGAACATGGTGTCCAAATATCTTTGATCCAAATAAACCAACCTGCCTGGCGACTGATTGAAGATGGCATTGGATTCTGGCTTTTACAGAAACAATGTTGCTGCACTAAAAAAGAATAAATTTCTGTTGTCGCTTTGGTTGGAAAGTCACACTAGTTGGTAGCCGGTTCACGCACGATTAAAAAATCATGGTACGCGCCAAAAAAAGGTTGAAGCCCTTGCCGTCGCTGATGCCTTAGACAAGGCTAAACATACTTTGTCCCGCTAGGTTGCTCAGACCTCATAATTGCGGTCGACCATAAACCACTACTAAGAGTATTCCTCGACCGATCAAGGATATCTCAAACACGCTTACGAAATCTCAAAGAGAAGACATTACGCTTTACAAGTTTAAAATGCTAGACATATCCCGTTGAGTGAAACATCGTGCCACTGACTGCCTATCACGCTATCCGACAGGCGAACCTGTGAAACTCATTTTGACGGATGACCTGGCATCGATTACCGCGAACAATGACGGTTTCCGACACCCGACCCAATCACTGCCTGACCTTAGGGTGTACGACACTACTGACAGTGATATCGAGGAGTGTGTGATTGCAGCCGCTACCACATCACTAAATGCATTAAACCTAAAGTCAGTCACATAGGACAGATTGCCTACCGCCACTGCCAGCGACGAAGATATGCTAGTATTGACTGAGCTCAAAGAATTTGGCATGCCAGAATTCCGCCATGAAATGCCAAACTCCATTCGCGAGTATTTTCAGTTCCGCGATGATCTGTCTACTATAGACGGCGTCATAGTTTATAAGGACCGCATCGTTATCCCACCATCCCTGTGAGACGAGGTGCTCTGCGCCTTGCATTCAGCTCATCAACGAGTAACCTCTATGACCGCTAGGGCCGAATCATCTGTATTCTGGCCAGGTATAATTGCCTGCTATTGCAGCACTCCGTGCTAAACACGCGCAATGCAATCGCAACGCACCATCTAATCCTAGCATATCCACCAGTCTCTCCAACGAGCCCGGAATACCCTTTCCAGTGTCTCTGTGCTGATTTTTTCACATACAAAGGAAACCACTACTTAGTTATCGTAGATCGTTATTCCAACTGGCCAATAGTTGAAAGGTCCTCAGATGAGGCTCTCGGACTCATCTCCTGCCTCAGACGTACTTTTGTAACTTATGGCATACCCGTTGAGCTGGCCTCAGACGGAGGGCCCGAGTTTACTGCTACAATTACTCAACAGTTTCTAGCTGATTGGGGTGTTCACCATAGGTTATCCTCAGTAGCATTCCTTCACAGTAACTGCAGAGCAGAGCTCGGCGTTAAGACAGTAAAGCACCTTCTTATGGGCAATACAGATCCCTCCGGAACCATTGATACGGACTCATTCCAACGTGCAATGCTGCAGTATAGGAACACACCGGATAGAGACACAAAGTTATCTCCGGCGATGTGCATCTTTGGTTGTCCTATTCGAGACTTCATACCCATAATCCCGGGAAATTATAGACCTCATGAAACGTGGCACAGCACATAGAAGGCACGTGAAGAGGACCTGCGGAACTGCCACATGAGGTGTGCTGAGAGATTATCAGAGCATACCAAACGGCTGCCACCACTAGTCGTCGGTGATCATGTGCGGATTCAAAACCAAGTTGGACCGTATGCACGCAAATGGGATAAAACTGGGGTAGACATCGAAGTTCGACAGTTCGACCAATACGTGATAAGCGTTGATGGATCGAGAAGAGTGACACTCCGGAATAGAAAATTCTTACGGAAGTATGTCCCAGTGCAATTCCCTCCCTCAAAGCTGACAATCGATAATGACATTCGCATACCTAATGCGGCTCCTACTTTGACACCGACAATTGTCTCGTATGATGTTACAACAACATCACCCCCAACTCACAGAACCCAAGAACCACATCGCTTCTGACCATCCTGCCCAACCGGTGATTTCACCAAGAGTATCACAAACGCCGCGGAACGCGCCAACAGTGCTAGAAACCGCTCCACCTGACAGAGAAAAGCCGACGTTTGACGGAGAGATGAGTTTTGATACCACTGTATCGCCGTCCCGAGCATCAATGTACAATCCCTCTAGTCTAGAGACAACCCCATCCTCCCCACGTATGTTGAACACGCCAAGAAGATCAGGCCGCGCTAATCACGCGCCGAAATGGTTCAAAGACTATATTATGACAGTTCAGACTTCACCTGACTTCTGATTTGGTGTCCCTGCATATATACCATATTCTCTGTTCACGTTGTATCCTCTGACAATTGGACTCTACCATAACCTCCGATATAAACGTCTATGGTATCCCGCCTCTCCCCTTATTTAACCTCACATCTAATGTTTGTGAACCTTTTGAAGTATCAGTCTTTGAGCATGTCCTACTTGACACTTACGTTGACATACACGCAAAGACTTGGGGAGAGATATAGAATTACTATGTTTCATGTATTTTTTACTATTATGTCTCTCTCCTACCAGAGGATTATTATGTTTGATGTAATTCTTACTATTGTGTTTCTACCTCTTTCGGGTCTTGTTCATTGTCAGTATACAATAAACGTTTACAGAACAAATAGACAAAATTCTTCGAGAAAAGATTTTTAGTATGTATCTGTTGTAACCCAAAATATTATGAACAACAAAATATAACAAAACACAGTTAAATATATTTTAAAACAACAATATTCATTTTTATTATCACCGACCAGGACAGCAGGATTGGGTTAGATAAACAATTCACTCTCTACAGGTGGTGTATTGTTCAGCAGTCATAATGTTGTTGCCTGATACTATCCTTTTTCCCGTGAAGAGTCAATGATTCGTTAGGGGAGAGTTGTCTCCCCGAAAAGTATCTTTAATGGTCTTTCTGTGTGCTGTGAAAGATTGTTGCTTTTAAATTTTTCATAAAGGTACTTGTCGGCTGAATTTCTGGCATATTCAGAAAAAAAAAATTGCCCTGGCAAAACCAAATGAACACTGTATACCAATTCTGCTGTGGTGCATTTCAAATCCTCTTTGATGGTGGATCTTAATACTAAGAGAATTAAAGGTAAATGCTTGTTTCAACGTGTTGGACAGCGGTGTGCGGCAAGGTATGCTTTAAGCTGGCTGTAGAAACGCTCCACTAGTCCAGGGTTATATGCAGTCGTTTTTATGTGTTTGGATCGTAGCAGTTGTTAGCTCCTTAAATAGAGTGGAATGAAATTAGGGACCTAAATTGGTTACGATCCTTTTGAGTACGCCGAAGTTTGCTATCCACGAACGAATAAGTTCTTGTCCGACTGAGTCGATGAGAGGTATTGCCACGGGCCATCTTGTGAACCGGTCATTGATCGTTAATATGTAGGTGAATTCATCGGATAGTGGGAGTGGTCCAACCAAATCGATGTGGATATGAGCGAATCGTTGATCAGGTTCGCTGAACTTTCCTTATGTTGATATTGTGTGCCTATGGATTTTATTCCTCTGACAAGGCACACAATTTTCAGTCCAGGAACGGATATCTGTATTCATATGAAGCCAGACAAAACGGTCTCTGATCATTTTTTGAGTTGCCCTTTTTTTCCAGGGTGAGCTATATTTTGGAATTTTTCAAAAATGTCTTCGCTTTGTCATTGAGATGAATGATCTGGGCTTTGCCATAGATGTGTCACACCAGATGTCAGAAATGCTAAAAGAAATAGCCATTTTTGTCAACTGTAAAGAAGTTTCTTTTTGTAGCTGGTTAAAAGATGGATCTTGTTCTTGTTTTGAGGCTAGTTGTTTATAATTTATTTGCGACGGCGTGTCCATATTAACAGTATTTACTGTGGTTCTTGACAAAGTATCTGAGATTATGTTATTTTCCCCAGAAATGTGTCATATATCAGTTGAAAATTAAGCTACAAAATTCAAATGTCTGATTTCTCGGGGTGAATATTTGTCCGCTGCTGTTTGGAAGGAATATGTGAGCGGTTTGTGGTCTGTGAAGATTGTGAAATGTCTTCTAATATCTGTTTGTAATGTTTGACAGTAGCATATATTGCTAGTAGTTCTCTTCCAAAAGTTTTGTATCTTTGTTGTGCAGAATATTGAGACATTCAACACCATCACTTGATAAGATACCAGAAGTGTTGAAAAAAAATGGCTATTTTTGTAGTGATTTTATAACATATTTATGTTATAATTTTCGAATAAATTATATTTGCTCTACTCTGTATTGAGCACTATTTTAAGAATAGAATTTTTTGGCTATTGGAATTTATTCTGTATGCACCAATCGATATCTGTGTAAAGCTTATCTGTATACTTCATTCCAGGAGCAGCTCAAATCCACGTGATCTCTTGGTTTGAGGTTGATGAAAAAAAGACTGAAAATCTCCTCCCGTAGGGCAGGTTTCTTTTTACTATGGAATCATGGGAAATTAGTTTGTTTTTTACTTCTCGTGATCATGAGATGACTACACTCACATATACTTCAAATTATAGTGAGTAAACATTGAGAACAAATACTGTGTTTGCCGACATATAACGCTCACGCTTTACAAGACTCACAAATATTATAAGTTACAATGAATTAAGAGAAATCAAAGAAATAAGTGTAAATACTGTGTAGTAAGTTAGGCCACTTACATTTGCTTCAGACATTTGGAGAAAATATGGAAGTATTAGCAGCAGCAGCAGCAGCAGCGCCTATATAAATTCCTGCAACCAACAGAAACCATCACTGTTTTTTCTTCGCCTGGAGCATTTTCCTACAGTATACCAATATAAGTAATATTTTTCTTCTTTCAAATGTAGACACGTTGGCTATCTGGTCAATGAAAAGCATTTAGCATCCCACTACCACTTTCTTATCAATGCTGAATTTTGTACAATTTTGTGCAAAAAGTGGATCCAGAGCATACCCAGATTCATGCAGATTTTCATGAAATATCAGCTTCTGATTGGTCAATAAATACACAAGTGGGCGTTGCAATTCACTCACATACAAATATTTTTCCAATGCATGACCAAGTCAAGTTTTCCCGACATTTTCCATGAGTCATTAATTATAAATAGCAAACACAAGCTTGCTCATTCTCTCTTCTTCTTTTATTCGCCTAAGAAGATGTAACCTTGAAGGATCCCGTCTTGGCCATGTGCGGTCAGACATTAAAAGCATATTCACACATGCACATACATACAAATTTTTCTAAACTACGTTACAAACATACAGAACATTTCCAAACAAGCAGCAAGAACTTTTCTCTTTGAAATACTTTTCTAAAGCTACAGTTTATTCAGAATTTCTCAACTTTATAATTCATTTAACTTTTGTGAGCTCAGATAAAAATATTTCAATTCATCAGTAAAACTTTAATTCAGTCAAAGGGACAAAACACCAACAAAATAGTAACTTCTATGCATGTACATCATTGCACGAAAATAAATATATATGTTGTTATCATAAAACCATATTGTTCCTTCTTGTGTTTCATATTTTGTGGTTATTTGTGTTAAATATAAATTGTGTGGTCATAGTTAACAAACAGACATCTACAAACAGACATCTACAAATGGTTCATTCTTGTTAACATACCACAACAAGCATACTATTCCACAATTTTTGTTATTTTATTTCTACAGAATAAAAGTTTTATAAAATTTCAGCCCTTTTTACATATTTCTTAAGTTCTGTATCTCTTTGTTGAAAATGTATAAAATGGTATATATACCTACTCGCAATGTAAAAAAATCAATTTAACCGAATAACGAGTAATATAAGATGGGCACTTCATATGATTCACAAATACTGACTCATATTATATGAAAAGTAAATTTGTATGTATCATTATAAACAGTACTTATATTTATTTGTATGTTTCATTAAAAATAGTATTTAGTGGTAAAAGTTTGCTTGGCAAACTCAATAAATTGCAAGTTATATGAAATTACCACTATCACCCTGACATTTTAGAATTTGTATCAAATAAATTTAATCTAAAATATTCAAATTTTATTCGGTTCATATAGACCAAAGTTTCCCAACCTATGTGATATCACCCCC